CCTCCCCCTCTCTCCCTATTTATTTCAGAACCCCCTTCCCCTCCCCCATTTCTGAAGAAGTGTCTAGGCCCGAAACGTCAGCTTTCCTGCTCCTCTGATGCTGCTTGGCCTGCTGTGTTCATCCAGCTCTACACCTTGTTAATTTAGAAAATAGTGACAGGATCAGACAGAGTCAGTTATGAAAGGGAAATCATGTTGACAAATCTACTGAAATTATTTGAGAATGTCACTAGTAGAGTTGATTAGAGGGAGCCAGTGGATGTGGTTTATCTGAACTTTTAGAAGGTCCACATAAGAAATTATCATGTGAAAACGTGCATGGGCTTGAGGGTAGTGTATTGACATGGATAGAGAATTGGTTGGCAGACAGGAAACAAAGAGAAGGAATAAATGGGTCGTTTTTCCAAATGGCAAGCAGTGAATAGTGGGGATCAGTATGTGAACCCCAGCTATTCACAATATATGCTAATGATTTACATGAGGAACTATTTCTGAGTTTGCAAATGACACAAAGCTTGGTGGGAGGGTGAGCTGTGAGGATGCAGCAGAGATGTTGCAGTGTGATTTGGACAGAATAAATGGACAAATGTATGGCTGAGGAAGTATAATGTGGATAAATGTGAGGTTATCCACTTTAGTAGCAAAAACAGGAAGGCAAACTATTTAAATGGTGATTGATTGGGAAAGGTGGAGGTGCAACAAAACCTGAGTGTCCTCACACACCAGTTGCTGAAAGTAAGTGTATAGGTGCAGCAGATGGCAAATGGTCTTCCTAACAAGAGGATTTGAGTATAGGAGCAGAGATGCCTTGCAACAGGGCCTTGGTGAGACCACACCTGGACCATTGTGTGCATGTCTGGTCTCCATATGCAAGGATGAATGTTCTGGCTATGGAATACAATGCAGGTTTACTAGACTGATTCCTAGGACGGTGTGACTGACGTTTGAAGAGAGACTAGATCAGTTAGGATTCTTCTAAATTCCAGTAAAGATAATGTGTGAGGTCTCCAAAATCTGCATACTGCCTGGGAGGTGGTAGAAGCAGATACAATAGCAAGTTTTAAGACAGACACAGGAACAGGTAGGGAGTAGAGGGATATGAACCATGTGCAGGCAGATGGCATTAGTTTGGAATGGCACATACACAGTGGGCTGAAGGGCATGTTTCTGTGCTGTACTGTTCTAGAATTCTAACAGGGTAAATGCAGGAAGGACTTTCCTGCTGACCAGAGAGTCAAGAGCCAGGGGTCACAATCCAAGTGCACAGGATAAGCCATTTAGGATTGAGATTAGGAGACATTTCTTCACCCAGAGAATGGTGAGCCTGTAGAATTCTCTGCTAGAGAAAGTGGTTGAGACCGAACTACTGAATGTTCTCAGGAAATCAGATATTGTTCTTAAGACTAAAAGGACCAAAGGGTGTGGGGAGATACAGAATATCAATACAAGTTAGGGGAGTCCAAAACTAGAGGGCATAGGTTTAAGGTGAGAGGGAAAAGATTTAAAAGGGACTTGAGGACAACTTTTTCACGCAGAGCAGGTGAATGCATGGAATGAGCTGCCAGAGGAATCTGGATGGGTAGATGTAGGAAGGGTTTAGAGGGATATGGTCTAAATGCTGGTAAGTGGAATTAGATTAATTTAGGATATCTGCTTGGCATGGACAAGTTGGACTAAAGGGTCTGTTTCTGTGCTGTACAACTCTATGCTCCTAAATCCAAAAGGATCATTGTGAAGTTGATGGAAGTGACATCCTATGTCAGATGTATTTCTGAATTGAGCAAACTGCAGTTTTGGTGCTGATTAAACTTTACAAACTAATGGTGGTAGAATTCAAACATTGTCGAGTGTATTAACAATGCCATTGAGAATACAACACTGTTTACAGGAAAAAAAGTTTGGTATATTTATCTTTCTCAGGTAAACAGTGATACAAAATAAAGACTCAACTGATTTATTTATTTTGGAAGCTTGAACGTTCAGCAATCAGATAAAAATGAAGTTTTTAATTTGCTTTTATCCAATGCCAAAAGAAAGCAGTGCCTTTCTCTGCTAAAGTGAGTCTATTGGTCTTATCCTCCCACCAAAATCATAGAATGCCATTAAGTATGGCTGAAAATTCCAGGAGTAAAACTGAATAAATGTCTTTAAAAATATATAGTACAGTGCTTCTATATATACACATTTTAAAAAGATGTTTGTCTTGGTGTCTGATTGATGTTTAGCAAACTGTACACAACAGCAGAGAAAGGCTTCACATTGAGTGCTCCAATTTCAATGGAAAAACCATTTACTTATTGTGATTAGGAACAGTTCCTTCAACAATGCAGCAATATTACAATCCCCAGTTGACTAATCTGAACTCTGCATCAAGACAAGAGCAAGATTTGCAACTGAATTCAAACACGTGCTAAGCGCTCCAGAATACGTCGGTACTGTTCCACAGTGGTCTGGTAAGTCTCCTCCAAGTACTCCTGCTCTTGGCTCACGCTCATCTCTGCTTGCTGTGCAAGCCAATCTTCTGGCATCAACCGGGAAAGACGTGTTGCTTCCTTCTTATTTTTCTGGAAGAATTAAACAAGAAATGTAATGAAGCTCTCACAGAAGAGGTCTCTGCACTTGGGACCAGAAAGGACACAGCACAGAAAAATCTTTTAACATTCTTCCCTACTGCATCCAGCATTTACACTTAAACACAGTCAGGAATGCAGAATAGATGAGCCTGATATTTTACTCTGGTAATCAAACCGCTCCCTCCCACCTATGTTTCCATTCATCCCTTTCCTATCTCCTCTTTCTCACCCCCACCTTGAAAATCATTACTCAACACCTGTTCTTCATCATTTCAAATACCTTAAAAGGAATAGCAAGCCTGCGTTTCACATCCAATCTGTACTCGCTGCTTTGCACTGGATCACTCATGTTGGTCACGCGCAGCCGGAGAATCTCATATACTCGTCGGGAGTGATGCTGAAAGGTTTCCAAAAGGTTTTCGTTAGAGTCTCAAATGTCATTGAAGCTTTAGCTCATTGGTGTAGAAATGGCAGCATTTAAAAAAAAAACAGAACAGGACTACTATTGTGTTTTATTTGTTCACAAGATGTGGGTGTCCCTGGCTAGGCTAGCAGTTATTGCCCAGAGAACAGTCAATTTTCTGTGGGTCTAGAGTCATACCTAGACCAGACCAGGTAAGGATGGCAGTTTCCTTCCCTAAAAGGACATTAGTGAGGCAGATGGATTTTTATGAAAATTGACAGTGGTTACATCATTGTCATTAGACTAGCTTTTTATTTCAGATTTTTATTTAATTCAAATTTGACCATTGTTATGGACCAGACAAAGCTCCCTCAAAACATATCAAGGACATAGCTTAGACTGTAACTTTAATCTTATCTAAAGGCAAGTGTAAGATGCTGCTTTCCAGATGTGATTTCATTGGTCAGACTACTCGGCTTTATGCAAAACACATTTTATTCTTACACAACAGTTAGAATGCAAACAAAAAAAAATTGGCATAACTTTAACTATCAAACTACTTAACAAAATAATATTATAAAAAGTACCACTCTTCAACAACTGTTCCAATACATAAGCATCCTATAAACACACACTTGGCAGAGGCAAATTCAGCAAAACAGATTTGCTCACTTGCTATCTCCTCCAGTCCAAGTGAAGGTACACCAATAATGAATCTAGCAGCAGACAGAGAACTGAAGCTTTTGCAGCACCACAGACAGAACTGTAGCTAGCAGTTTCAACTCCAAAACCTCAACTTTAACAAGTGAAAGCAAAACTAAAACCTAGGGTCTGTGATGACTCCACCCAGTCATGCTTCTTTTGTCTAATTTTAAAAATATCCAAAGCTATTTACTTTGTTTTTCATGGAGCAGACACCTTTTCACCAGATTTACAACAGCCCCCATTCAAGATAACCAGGACAGACAAATCCCTCAAAGGCACAAATCATCGCACCATCTGCCATAATGGGATTTGACCCCTGTCCCCAGAACCCAGGTGGGGTTGCTCATCCAGTGAAATTACCATTACATCATTGCCTCCCCACAACTGCAACAGGAAACTTGATGGATTGGGTGTCTGCCAGTTAAACACAATCGCTTGTTAAACTAGTGCTTGAAAACAGCCCCCAATATATCAATGTAGACTGCCCAACTAAACAGAAGATTAAAAATTCTGGTTTTAAATTGGGATGAGGACTGAGGGTCACAGTGAAGGCAAAGAGCAGGTACAGGACAATGGGAAGAGGAAATGAGGTAGGGGCTAGGTGCGACTCAGTGTCCACCTCTGCAAATTGAGGTGGTGCTGTACCTACTTGTGCTGAATCTGTAGATGAGCCTGGGAGACCATGTGCAATCAGGGAATGATATTCTTTATATATAATCTAACATCGACAACAACGTGAGCAACACAGCCAGCTGTCTTGGATGTAAAATTTCCTCAAGACATCCCCACCTGGTGTGTCAGTCTTTTCATTGCTGCAGGACACTCCCTCAACACACCCAAGAGATCTTGTGGCAGATCAGGGAGCAATGAGATCGTGAATCACTGTTATAACTTGCCTGAATCCAGACAGGCTACACCAAAAGCAAAAAACTCCAGATGCTGGAAATCAGAAATAAAAACAAAGTGCTAGAAATACTCAGCAGGTCTGGCAGCATCTGTGGAGAGAGGAAAACAGTATTAATACTTCAGGTTAACATTCCAGACCTTCCATCCGATGAAATGGCTGCCTTTAAACTGACATAATTTTGCCCTTTTAAGGGTACTGAAATCTGAAAGGAAGCACAAATCCCATTTAAATATTTAAGGAATCTGAAATGTAACCACAGTAATTACAACCCAGTGTGGAAGACTATAACTTTGACCAGTGTGTACTTTTATTGAATGTTTGCCTCGTGTGTTCTAAAGCACTTTATGAAGCTCTTGCCTTCAAGTCACATTTGAATGAAATGAAGAATTTTCACAATGACTAACATTAAAGGAAGGATATTAGTAATTGGAGAGGGTGCAGAAAAGATTTACAAGGATGTTGCCAGGCCTGGAGGTTTGAATTATAAGGAGAGGCTGAATAGGCTGGGACTTCTTTCACTGGAGTGTAGGAGGTTGAGGGGAGTGCCCTTAGAGGTTTATAAAATCTTGAGGGGCATAGATAAGGTGAATAGCAAAGGTCTTTTCCCTAGGGCAGGGGAGTTCAAAACTAGAAGGCATAATTTTATGGTGAAAGGAGAAAGATTTAAAAAGGGACCTTAGGGGCACCTTTTTCACACAGAGGGTGGTGGAATGAACTGCCAGAGGAAGTGGTAGATGAGGGTACAGTTACAACACGTAAAATACTTTGGACAGGCACAGGAATAGTAAAGGTTTAGAGGGATATGGGATAAACATAGGAAAAGGGGACTGGTTTAGTTTGGGAAAACTGGTCGGCATGGATGAGTTGGACTGGAAGATTTATTTCTGTGCTATATGATACTATGACTCTGTGACTATGACAGACTGAAGAAAGAAAAAAATAAATCACAATGAACCACATAGACAGCAGACTCTCTCCCAGAGTATTTCTTTGGTGACTTGTGTTGCTCCCAACAACAATGCATTCACTGTTAAAAAAGGAAAACTAGAAAACCTTACAAATCCACACTCCGCTGGGAACATTCAGATTTGTAGATCAGCTTTAAAAGGTGACAATGCATTCAGGAAACAATACAACTTAGACAAACATGGAATTAAGTAAGGGAGGTCAGCATGGGCTTATTAAAGTCAAACTATGTCGAACTAACCTGAAATTTTTTGATAAGGGTAATGCAGTTAATGTGGTGTACATGGACTTCCAAAGGCATTTGATAAACTGCCACAAACTTGGCTTCTTGTCAAAATCAAAACTCGTATAATAAAAGGGATAGTGGCAGCATAGATAAAATTGGCCAAGCTTCGGAAACCATAGAGGTGAGCAGCTTTTCATTTTGAACTGGAACAAGGTATATTATAATGACATCCCCAGGGATCACTGTTAGGAGCCATGATTTTCATTACATGTGGGTGTGCAGGCAGTTTCAAAATTTGTGAATGACAAAATCTGGAAGTATGTGAGCTGCAAGCATGAAAGTGATAGATTTCAAAAGAACTTGACAAGCTTGCTGGTTAGACACACGATAATGCTGTCACTTTAAAAAGGTTATTTTGTTCTGGTTTTGTTTTGAAGAGAGGTTGTAAGGCAGAAGTGCCGAGCAGTCTACCAGAATCACTAGAGTACACCTAAGGCCTCACTTTTTTTTTTAAGAAAGGTTTGAACAATGGAAGCAGCCTGAATGGATGCAGCCAGCTCTCTCAGCTCCAGATTTCTGGTTTTTGGTTTCTTTAGTAAGTCAGAAGCTGTTTGGGGGTCTCAAAAGAGTTGGAGGCTTCAGTGACTGTCTCTTGGCTGCAACACTCTCTGAATTTTCTCGATGTTTCTTCCTCCTGAATTGAAGAACTGCATGTAAGAATCTGTGTTTGAATTTGCCTTTTTGCCAAGGGTGTGTTTATATTTGAACAGTTAATTAACAATAGGTACTGTATCTATTATTTGGTTAAGTTTTTGAATAGTTAAGTTATTCTAAATTCCTCTATTTTCTTTGTAATTTAACTAGAGTGTTTAAATAATTGCGTTTTGCTTAACGTCGAGTAGCTTGACCGTCATATCGTATACGGTGCATCGTATCTGGAACATGGCACCTCACACCTACCTTTAAAATAAGAAAAAGTAAGGGTCTGTGTTACCTTCTTAAAATATTTCGCGGGGGTCTGGTCTGATCCATAACAACGTAGCACATTAAATTTAATGCAGAGAAGTGTTACAGCTTTATAGAAAGGAAGAGAAACTACATGAAATAAAAGGTGCAATTCTAAAAGGGATGTAGGGGTCCTGGAGATATATCTGAACAAACAGTTGAAGATGGCATGCGAAGTTGAAAAAGTGGTTCTATAAACAAACAGTTACAATACTGGTTATAGAATACTGGGTTGGCCTTAACTGGGGTAGTCTGTCCAAGTCCGGGCACCATACTGCCAGTGGGTACTTACCTAAATGAAAAGCAGCAGGGCAAAACTAGATGAGCTGCCCTGCAGAGAGCCAATATGGACATGATGGGATGAACAGCCTCCTCCTGTACTGGAAGATTCAATGCTTATATGAAGCATGACCATATACGCACTCTATTTGGCAACGGAACGGAAATGCTTAATACTAGAAACCTGCACATCAAAAAGAAATCCTCCGGTCACTTTGGATTTTATGGCTTAGGTTTCCCTTTGTTACTGAAGAGGGCCTCTTATGTGCATGGAATCATACAAACGTACAGATTGGGAGCAGAAACAGACCATTTGGCCCCTGGAGCTTACTCTGTCATTCAATAAGATTATGGCTGATCTGTGTCCCGATTTCCACATTCCCATCTACCCTCAATAAACTTGGATTCTATTGCATAACAGAAATCTACCTCTGCCTTAAGAATACTCAATAGCTCCATTTTGACCATCTTGTGATGCAGAGAGTACCAAATTTGCACAATCTTAAGTAAAAAAAATTATCCTGATCTGCATCCTAAAAGGACAATCCTAGTTTTTAAAACAGCACCCCTTAAGTCCTGGGCTTACCCACAAGAAACATTATTTCCGCATCCACCACGTTAAGACCATCTTGTATGAACAATCAAGTCACCCTTTACTTTTCTAAACTGCAGTGAAATAAAAGCCCAGTCTGGCCAATTTTTCTTCATTCCTGGTCATCATCATCGTCAATCACTCGCTAGCAAGTATGACTGACCACCGAGGAAATGTTGGTGGTCAGGGGTTCTGTGGGTCCCTGTGTGACCAATGAGCCTAATCCTAAGGCTGCATCTCTGACCACACATTGGTAGGTGCTTCTGGGAGGTGGAAGTCGTCCTTGGTCTTGAGATTGCTGGCGTTCCTTTCTCCCATTTGTTTTCTGTACTTCCTCTTACCAACAGATGTCTTCAAAGAATTGAGTCCCATTACAAAGCAGTGTCCTCCAAGTTGGCTTCTTCTAATCAGACATCTCCTAGGCATTGATGTCTATATTGCATTTCTTGGGGGAAGCTTTTAGAGAGTCTTGAAACACTTCCTTTGTCCTCCTCTTGATTGATTGCCTTCCTTGAGGTGGGTGAAAGACTTGCTTTGGTTGTCAGGACTCCGGCACCCTCAGCACGTGGCCAGGCCAATGGAGTTGGTTTTAGATGATTATGGCCTCGATGCTGGCGTTATTGGCTGCTTCAAGGATGCTGACGTTAGAATGCTTGTCCTCCCCGGATAATACAGAGAATATGTCTCAAACAGCATTGATGGTACTTCTCAAAGGTGGTGTCTAAGTATCAAGTATTCCAGGTATCAATCTTGTAAACCTCCTCTGAATTGCCCGCATATACATCCTTCCTTAAATAAGGAGACCAAAACTGCACACAATATTCATGATGTGGTCTCACCAATGCTCTGAATAACTGAAGCACAGAATATCCTTACTTTTATATTCAAATCCTCTCATAATAAAGGACAGCACTCCATTAGCCTTCTTTATTACATGCTCTACCTACATACAACTGTGTGATGCATGCACTAGAACAGAGATCCTTCTACAGTCATTCTCTGTTTAAGTAATACTCTGCAAAAGTGAACTTTACATTTTCCCATGTTATACTTCAGATTTTCACCTACTCACTCAAATGACGTATAATTGGTCTACAACCTACTGTGCATTCTGTTGTAGCTGTGGAGGCCGAGTGCGGCCGATCAGCGCTTTCCACTCTCTGGGCACAGATAAATAGTCTGATACTGGTGGCAATGTCTTGTGTTTTGTACTTAGCTGCCTATATAGCTTGCTATTTGAAGGAAGCAAGGCTGCCACTTGACCTCACTCTTCAGGTGGTTCTTTCTTGTGCACTTTTCTCCAATCAGTGATGGATGTACCACATTTCCAGAGGTTCACCTTTGAGGAGTCTTTGAACCTTTATCTTTGAGATTACCTGTGAGGTAGGCTAAGTTTAAGTGATGACCACCTTTGGGATTCTTACTGTCAGTCACACATACTGCATGCCCAATCCATCTGACCTAGGTTCTGATGATGGTGAACTTTATTTCCAGACATTTATGCTCTTGGAAGTTTCTCACTGTTGGGCACTTTTTCCTACCATGTGATACCCATAATGTTCTGAATACATCTCATGTGGAACCTGTCCAACTTCTTAATATGTCCGGAGTTGGAAGGCCAAATCTTACTGGCATATAGAAGGCTAGGTATTATCAGAGCAAGTTTTATGCAAGTTTGATGCTGTGTTTCCTCCACAATGTCTTGTGTAATTCTATTTGCCATCTCACTGTCAAGGCAGATATTTCTAGGAATTGTGCTTCTGAGATAGGTGAAGTCATCTACAGTCTTCAGGATTGTGTCACTGATGGTTATAGTTGGTGGGGTACAGCCAGAACCTGGTGGCGTTTGTTGGACTGTCTCTGTCTTAAGTTGATGATTAGCCCATAGTCATCAGCTGCTTTTGTAAAACAGTCCATGATCCTTTGAATGCCATGCTCACAGTGAGAGACAAAAGCATTAGTGAACAGCAATTCTCCTGTCATCATCTCTCATACCTTAGTTGAGGATTTCAGTCATCTCAAATTGAAGAGATTACTGTCTGTTCTGATATTCCATCAATATTCCCATCGAATGGTCCAGAAAGCACAGCAGTAAAAAAAAACACTGAAAAGCATAGGGACTATGCTTCACGCCATTTGTTACCTCAGAGGAATCAGTGCATTCACCAGTGATCTGGCCATCATTCCATTGTGAAACTGCTATACCTTGACGAGGACAGTCAAGGTAGGCTAAGAATTCCTACAGGACCTCTCTCCGTCAAAGGCCTTTGTCAGGTCAAAGGCACAGTAAAGCCCGATCTGTTGTTAGTGATGTTTCTTTTGTATCTGCTGAAAGCTGAAGATCATGTTGCAAAAGTTTGTCTTTCCTGAACCCACCTTGATTTCCTGGCAGGACAAATTCTGTAATGTGGCTCAATGGTCTATTGAAAATAATTTTTGTTAGAGTCAGCTTCCAACTAACATAGTCATTTTTCTATTACACAACATGGCTGAGGGTGTAATTGAGAGATCGGCTTTGCAGTAAATTAACCAGCTAAATTGGAGTAACAGCTTTGTGAAACAACAAACCATGCACAGGAGAGGGCTCTTGCAGGGCACTAGGAATGTCTGTACCACTGAGCCAGGAGGCTTGGGTTCAAATCCCACCAAGTGAGTAATGACAGCTCTAAACAGACCGATAAGAAAACATTTAAAACGAGCACAGGAAACTAAGGCTGCCATCCAGTGGAGGTATCTTGAAGTTGTGCCATATTTAAGAGAAGAGAGATCATTTCAGGAAGGAGTGACTGATTATGTTCAGACTGCACTCCTTGTATCTATGCTGTATCAAGATTTTGTTGTCATACACAAACATGACTCAGAAAAGGTCAGCTGGCTCTTTCAGCCTGCTGTGTCCCTCATTTTCCCTTAAGGATATTGACAAAGATATTGGCAGATGTAATACATGTGAATTCTCAGAATATCATCAAAAAGATTCTTACAGGAGGATTACTACAGAATATCAGGCATATTATATAAGAGGAAACATAACTGGATAGTAAGTTGGATGGGTAGGAAAGGGGAGCGCAAGGGGTGAAATAGGTGTTTCTGAAACTGGAGTCCACGTCTGTTAAAAGAAAGATAAGACTAGTGTCCTTCACATTGATTGGAGATCCCCAAATGTTTTATAGTCGTGAAGTACTTCTTGATGTGCAGTTACTGTTGTAATGCAGGAAATCTATTTTTGTGGCTTTTTGAAATATTGGTCAGGTCACTGGGAAGGCCTCCCTGCTCTTCTTCCAAATAGGACCAGGCAGTGTTTTCTTCCACCCACCCGAGGGTCAGATGAACTCTCAGTTTAACCTGAAAGGCGGCACCTCAAAGTGTGTAGGTGACTTCATCAGAGCGTACACAGACAATGAAGGTGAGAGGTTCACTTAGTATGATGCAGTCTGAAATCCAGAATATTGTCTGTAAATGTTCTAGACAGCCATTACCTTATTTATCTTCCAAGTTCTTCGGGCCTCTTCTATCATTTCAGCACTGAATCCTTTCTTGAGTTTTTCAGGTGCAAAGGCTTGGAGCTCCTGGCACAGTTTGGCGAGAACGAAATCTCGTAGTTTCACAAAATCCTCAGATGGCTCTTCAGCTGAAATTCCAAAACAAACGCCCTTAAAAAATGCAGGATTTGGAACAGAAATTACTGCAAGCTTAAATAATGGTAGGTCATTCAACCCAACAAATTCCATTGCAGAATTCCTTGCTCAGGATTATGTTCCATTTGTTGTCTAAAACAACTGAATGTCTCTATACTTGCTGCTACATTAGCAAATCATGACTGCAATGTACAGCTTCCCAAAATAATCAGTGAAGTAGTCCTTGCCCACATGCAGCAAGACCTGGATAACATTCCGGTTTGGACTGATGTGCCAAGTGACACCAGTGCCACACAAATACCATGACGCGGAGGTACCAGTGTTGGACTGGGGTGGACAAAGTCAGAAGTAATATGTCACCAGGTTACAGTCCAACAGGTTTATTAGAAATCAGAGATAACAAAGCGTAGAGCTGGATGAACATAGCAGGCCAAGCAGCATCAGAGGAGCAGGAAGGCTGACGTCTCGGGCCTAGACCCTTCTTCAGAAATGGGGGAGGAGAAGGGGGTTCT